TATATTTTTGATTTTTATATCTTTATGATATTAGTTTTATTTAAATTGTTATTTTTGATTTATACTTTTTAGTATTATTATTTTACACTTTAGTTTAGTTTCTCTTTGATTAATAGTGGCTTCACTTGTTAATCATTATAAATTTTTTATTCTTTCTTTATATTTTTACCTCTTTTTTAAATTACTTTTGTAATTTAGATCTTTGAACATACAATATTTGTAGATATTGGCACAGGTCTTAGAAATCTTTGCTAATATTTATAATTCATTTTCTTTACTTAAGTTTAATCATCCCTCTCCTAATATCATATGTTTATAATGATTCTCAGTAAAACCCACTATTCAGAATCACTGTAATATTATAAATAACAAACTTTATTTAAACTAGAAATAGTAATAGAATATGTAAATTTCTTATTAATATTCTTATTATAATATTAATATTATAATACTTTTTTTTGAAAAATATCATAAATATATTTATTATTTCATACTTCTTTTAAAATTATTTTAATATCTTTTCTTTAATTTGAATTATTTTTATTTTTCTATTTCTTTTTATATTTATTTTCTTTTATATATATAATATCTTTATCTGAATAAATTTCATCACATATAAAAGAATACTTTGCAAAATATTAGAAAATTTATTCCTATATTAACTAAATCTTTTTCTTAACTCAAGGAGTTATAATCAAACTAATAATAAACAATAATATTATACAATAACTTGAAAGCTCAATTAATATTTTGAATTTCTTAATAATTTTTTCTTTGAGATATAATTATCATTGAACTATAATTATCAATATTATCCTCTGAAATATTTAATTATTTTGAATTTCTCAAAGATTTCAACAAATTAACTCTTTATAAAAAAATTTTATATCAATATTTAATGTATTAAAAATAACAAAACTAGGTAAATTCATAAATTTAGTACTAATAATAAAAATTACTAAAGAATAATAATTTAAATTAATTGATATATATAAAAATCAAAATTAGAAAAAACTCTAAAAAAGATTTATTGTCAAAGAATAAATAAAAAACAAAATTGGAATACTATTTTGAAATCAGAAAAATACTTTACAATTAATCAAAAAAATATTAAAAATATTTACAATAATTAAAAAGATCTATTCATCAAAAAATTAATTATTTCATAGTATAAAAAAAATCTTTGAAATATTTGAAATAAAGAATTTTTATTTCAGATTATTATTAAATTAACATTTACTCAAATATAATAGTAATATAAATATCACAAATTTTAAAAATAATTAAAAAATATAAAAATTCTAAAAATATTTATATAATAACAAAATTTCCTAATATTATTTTACTTTTTATTATTTTACTTTTTCATTATTTTACTTTTATAAATATTATTTTACTTTTCTGTTATTTTACTTATTTAAATTTTTACTTCTTTATATATTATTTCACTTTTATATAATTAATTATTTTATTTTTATTTATTTAGTTTACTTTTTATATTTTTGAAAAATATATAAATAGAAATGCTATTTGAGCTTTAACTCAACATATTATAACTAAAAATAAAAATCTCTCTTAACAAAAATCTTTAAAATATTTTTTATCTCTCATATTTTCTTTATATACTTCAAATTTTGTATATAAGTGATCTTATATTATATTGTACCTAAGAAATTACTAATAACTTTATATTATATTGTACTAAATAAATTGCTATTATTAACTTTGAACTTTAGATTATATTATACTAAACAAATTACTATTATTGAATTATTGAACTTTATATTATATTATATTGAACAAATCACTATATTGGGATTATTAAAATTTGATTTTAAATATTTTGATTTTGTTATTTTAATTTTTGATTATTAATAAATATTTCTCACTTATGAGAAGAACAAAGTAAAAAAATTTTTGTTATTATTATTACTAATTATATTTTTAGCTCTGAAAAGCTTTATATTAATATAGAGAATTAATTTTTCAAATTATTTTTTTATATTCTTTTTCTTTTTTGATCTTTATTCTTATATAACTCTTCTATATTATTATTTCTTTTTAAGTAAATATAATTTTTATAAAAATTAATATAAATCTTAGATACCTCTTTTTTTAATATTTTTATTAGTTTATTATTCTCTTCTAATTAAAATTCAAATTTGTAAGTTAATTTAATAATTAATAAACAAATTTATAATAGTAATATATTGAACTATTAATATATTAGCATTTTGATAATATCAAAACTTTAGAAATATCAGAATTTTAGATATTTAAAACTTTGAATATATCAAAATTAGAAAATATTAAATCAGGATATTGTTGAAGAATTAGAATTTTCATATTTCAAGATTTTGAATATATCAGAATTTTGAATATTTAGGATTTTAGCAATATCAGAATTTTGGCAATATCAGAATGTTGGGTATCAGGATTTTGAACATTTAGAATTTTAGGAAGTCAGAATTTTGATAATGTCAAAATGTTAGACATTCAGAATTTTGGTATTTTGAGATTTTGGTAAATCAGAATTTTGGATTTCAGAATGTTGGGTATCAAAATTTTGACAGTTGGGATTTTGGATCAGATCCATTTTTTATAATTATATTTTTTATTATATTTAATTTTATGTTAAAAAAATAATTATAAAAAGATTTGGTTATTTTATATTTTCTTTTCAAACTAATAAAAATATAAAATACTATATAAATATTAGTTATTATAAATGTTGACTATAATATTAAAGTTATTAGTTTAGTAACATAAATTTTTAAAGAAATTACATCACAAATCTTGAATTATTGATTTTGCACAAAAATAATTAATCTTATCAAAAAAATTGAACTAAATTAAAATCTAAATTTTTACAAAGAAGGATATTATAATTAGTGCTTTATGATAAGTCTTTCTCTTATATATCATCAAGAGATCTGGAAAAAATCTGATGATTGCATTACACACCTAATAAATTTATATACATATATAACTATGTAATTTAGCTGCCCATCTATACTCAAAAATCAGGTAATTTTTTTCTGTCAGGTTCCTTATAAACTAACTTAATATCATAGCTATTTGTATAAATTGCCTTTTTATAAGCCAGCAATTTCTTGCACTTAGCTTTACTTGTTAAACGCGTAAATTAACGCTGTGTTTATAAGTATAGCGGATATTCGACATAACAGAACTAAATATCAATATAGTAGCATGGGTTCGGCCAGTCGATATAATAAACCTTACGTGATATGCATATTTATTAGTAAAGGCTTGATATTGCGGATTATTCGAAGTTCCAAGTTGAGTTAATGTTCATTTTGCTATTAAAAAAAAATGAGGGAAAACAAATCGATATGTATTTACCTCTCACTCCTGGTGACACCGAACAAAAAGATTCCTTCAACATCAAACAGATGAAAAAAATCAGAATAGCAAATTTGGATTTAATACAAGTGAAATATTAAGCTTATTATTTCTCATGCGCGCATATCGATATAACATCTGACCAATTAAACAGGTTTCTTACGCCCAGAGTTATTATTGTTATTTAAAATTTATATTAATAATTGCATAATATATATACAATCAAACTTCGATATAATGAAGTGGTCAGGTTATTAATACTTCGTTATATCAAGATTTTGACTGTAATAGTCCAATAAACATTTAGATTATTCTCTAAGGAATTAAATTCTAAAAAGTAATATTAATTAAGATAAAAAACGTCGAATAATAATCACCACCAGAACGAACGAATACATTATTTAATGCACGCTATGCTATAAAATCACGTAGTTTAGCAATATACGCTATTGCCGTTGTATCTAATCGTTCTGGGACCGATGTAGTCACAAATCACTATTAGGAGATGAAAATGATGATTAGCGTTAGTTTTGGTAATTAATACTGAGTAAAATAATGTGACTTACAATCACGAAGAGCGGTGTAATCGTTTTTCCATTTAGCGAGACCAGCAGACAAACCTAAAAATTGAAAAATGAAGATGTATATTAAATATAAATAATTATTGGCTACAAATATAAAAATGATCATAATACTAACCAATCATAGTCGCAAACAAACTAACAAGGAAGAACCACATTAAATAATATGTTTTCATAGTGGGTTGTCCGTTATAGAAGAATGGTTGATGCAAAACTGGAACATTCTGCAGTGTCTGCTGATTTTCCTGTTTTTCACCAAGAGGTTGCGTCTGTGGAGAAACTACATGTATTACGTTAGTTTGTGGCGGCATTGACGGTGATGGATAGAACTGCTGTTTTTGTTCTGCAAGCCCATTGACATCTGATGGTGGAGGACCAAGTGGTGGGCCAAGTGGAGAATCGGATGGTGGTGGGCCAGCGGGCGGACCTAATTGAAAGTTTCCCGTTTGTTGGAATTGTTGTGGTGGAGAAGAAGGTGTACCACTTGCTTGGTGGCCATGATAGAAATTATTACTATCATTGAAAGATGGTGGTGGTGGTTGTTGATTGTAAATTTGTTGTGGTTGTTGTCCACCAGCATTAAAGTTATCATTTGGAAGTGCCATTATTTTTTATTTTTTTACTTTCACTACCGTTATTTATTACGCTTGATTGAACGTCTTTTCTATAAAATTGGGAAAGAAGAAAGGAAACAACAAAGTAAAGCGTGAAGGAATGAAAGTGTACTTGACTAAATTTTCCGGATTGAGACTTACACAATTGATTTTGATTGGTGGTGTTAATTGTCTTACATGCAATTGGCCAATTTTGGTAATATCATAAAAACAATGCTGCTGCTTCTGTTTCACTTTCTGAACACCAACTTTAACGAAATATTAATTCATGAATTAGATATTGTTTTGTTTCGGATGTGACCACTGTTATGTACGTATAGCATTGATCAAAGCGATAGCGATAGGATATCGATATTAGTCGAGCATAAATTTCTTTAATTATGGATAACACATTACTAAAGTGAACAACGTGCTATTATCGATATCGATATATTTCAGTTAAATTTTGACATTAATGAATAGATATTTTTCGCGGTACATGTATTAATATTAAATATATGTTCACTAAAAATAAACGTTACTTTAGTTTCTTAAACTCTAACTTCAAGCTTAAATACTCGCTGTTTGTCAAAGTTTACCCCTAGACTTTAACAATCAGTTTCAATCATACTCATTGATAGAAAACTGCGTGAAAAAGAGATAAATAAATTTTACCTTGTTCTTTGTCGTTATTACTTATTTCTTTTATTTCTTTTTTGTCTTGTCCGGTGAAACTTGTATGCTGTACGTATGTTATGTTTCAAATCAAAACATTCCTTAAATAGCGTAGTGTTAACGCTGGGAGATAGGTTAATTGATTCTAAAAATATAAAATTGCTGTGTAATAATCAATTGCGTCTCACTTTATCGTTATCCCTGAATGCACGATTTAAACAGCTGACAATTTCTAATTTGCCGTGTACATGTACATGTATAAACAACCTGTGAAATTGCCTTTTCGTTCTTTGGTAATTTTTTTAATTTATCACATGTATTTTATTACATGTATATTAAGTGTCACATATTTATATGTGAAAATTTATTTTGAAAATGTTGAATATCGATATGTATTCGGTAACATAATACATACGTACATGTACGTATTTAACGTTAAAACCGGGTGTTCATTTTGATCTATCGCTACGATATGAATTGATTACGTATAGCTAGCTCTCTTTTGAAGAGAAATAATACAAAAAAAGTGCTTAGCTCAAATCTTTTCATTGTTCGATTTCTGTATTATACCCCTTATAAATTTTTTTCAAAATTTAGAGTTTAAAATTAACGTTAAGTAATGTTATAAAATAACCTAATATGCTCTTTATGTTTTTACCTTAATCGGTACTTAGTGACAACACAAGAAGGCAATAGGAATCTTTAAAACAAAAAATCATATTTAGGCCCAGCTCTTTAGTAATTTTAGTAATTTGCGGTTTTTCAGGAAACTTGGCTCTTATTATTAACACAAAATTAATCTTCATTTATCTACTTTTTTGCCACTTCTTTTCACAACGAACTTTAATCAATATTTAACTGAGATGTCTATGTATGAAAATGAATCAAATAACCTCGTCGTGGTCAACGATGAAAGATCAAATAAACCACAGCAAACTTCAATTGATTTAGACTCGAAAAATAATTTTTTATTGACTACTACGACCAACAATATTACAAATATTGGCCATAATAATGATGATAACAAGAAATGCAAAAAAATTACGATAAACGAACTACCAAATGAACTTTTGTCAATGATAATTCATAATCTAAGTAGTAATAGCACTTCAAATGATAATTCAGCCCGTCATTTATGGTTGTTACGTCGAGTTAGCCATCGTTTTAAATATATTATTCATCAAGTTGTTTACGAAAAAGTAAAATACCGGTTAGCCCATTCTGCACCGACCACTTTGCAACTGTTTCTTTGCCAAATCACCGGATGTGCCATAACATATTCAGATCCGATTCGCGTCCACGTAACCGGATACAATAAGGAAACGGGTGAAGTGATGCTCGGGTGTCAACGGAGTCGGCATTTTCTGCGCGTAAACAAAAAAACCAAACTTTTTTTGGCGGTGAGGAAGAAAACGCCTGTTATAATGACGAAAAATAAGTACAATGGTAAAAACGGTATTAATAACGGCGGCGACAAATACGCGGAACCAACTAATAGTGAAATTCTTACATTTCGAAATGAGGAATGTAAAGAACCGCTACGCGATGGAAAACACGCGATTCACAAAGCAAATTCCTTCAAAGTTGAATATGAGCTCGTGAGAAATTGTAATGGTAACGCGAGAGAATTTTTTGAAAAGAGTCTTTTGGTTTTATCGGTTATCGTGACACCAATTTTAATTTTGGAAACGGCGATCTCCAAATGATTGTTCACTTATCATATTCATACTTTGGGATTTCTTCTGACGAATCGGATAAAAATCGAATGAATGACTAAGAAAACAACAGGGTGAAAGTTGCTACTAATAAAGGAGATATGATCGGGGATATTCTTTTTTTTTATTTATTTCTTTTATAAACTTATTCTTTATCGTCGTTTTTCAAAATTATTCTTTACCGTCGTCGATTTTCAAATTACAAAAAATAAAGTATATTTTTGGTGAATATTCGTAATTGAAATCTCCCACTTAATGTTTTCTTTTTCATCTCGTGAAATTTAGATCACGAAATAACCTGTTTTTCGCAGTAGGGTAATATTGTTCTTTACTCATAAAAGAATGAAATGAAAATGCAGATAATTTTCCACAATTATTTTTTTTGTACTTTTTAAAGGAGTGTGTGAATGTATTATATTTTCAATAACCCGCCATCATTACAAGTGCTTAGTTAGAAAAAAAAGGAATGAAAAGAAAGACTTGTTAACGCAGAGCAAAAAATCAATTTAACAACTTCCAATCTATCTGTTATATGTCTTTTTTCTGTCCTTCTCTTTAGTAATCAATACTATTAAAATAATAGGACTAGTAAATTAACATATTTTCATCCTTTCACATTAATCATTGCATTGATCATTCTAACAAAAAAAAATACTTCATTCAAGACTTCCATTTCCCATTCTTCTCGCGACAAATGTTATTTACAGATATCGATATTTCCAAAATTGGGAAACCAAATCATGAAATTTGATTGGTCTATGTCAATCCGCACTTAATTACCATATTTGAACTAAGTACGTACATGTAATGGTAATGCTAAATGCTAAATGCTAAATAAGATTGTACAAGTGGTCATGAACCACGTATACCATACCATTAAAAAGAGGTAAATGTATCCGTAGTTAGTAGAAAAAAATTGATACTCAACCAATCAATGCCAGGATACTTTACATTTTTCAAAGTCGCCTTTGTACTATAGTATCAGTTCAAAAACGGAGAGGTGCTTTGGTCAGTAAGGTAGCAAATTAATATTCAATTCAAATGACACTTTACATTGAACCGAGAGTACACACATAAAATGCTCATTATATAAATGCGCAGACAGATGGATATTGAATATAAGAAAATATCAAATCTAATAAATTGGATGATTGAACCTTTAAACACGTACGTCAATCTACCATGCGCACAGTCACCTCAAATGTGAAATAATGCACACATTACGTAATTTGTCTTTCAATGTGCGGATTAAAAATTCCACATTAAATGCATCGTGTCGTCATATTGAGAATACAGCTTACGTAGTTACATTCGCAAGCTATGTTTCGAGTACGATTTCAAATTATACTTTTTTCTCCTAAAAGATTATACCTATGATTGCATGTTTTTACACAGAAAACATATCGAAGCACAAAAACTTCGAGCAAATATTGTCGAATTCGTCATCAATCTTTCGATGATCCACTCACCGATTGGCACAACAAAACAAAATGGATTAGTATCTCAATTTCTCTTAGTGAATTCATATTTTTGTGCTTTAGCGTGTTTGTTATAATAAACGATCAATGAGATCTAATATGTCATCCTCTGGGAACTTGTTATTAATGTTCGGTGTAGGCAAGGTATGGCTAAAACGTAAGTGCTATTCGAAATTCGGAGAGTGATTTCAAGATGGACAAACGGATGTTAAACATCGATTTATACAAACTCTTGAATTATAAATTTCTTTTGCTCCAATTTTTATAGCACTACATAATAATAATTTATCTTTTGCAATAAAGTTAAACGTTATGATAAAACGTTCTTTGTTAATAAGCTTCAAACACAATTTTGATAACATGAATACGGATCCGGCACGACATCCCGAAAATCACAATCCCGACAGCTGATATGCCCGACAAACGAAATCCTGAAAGCCAATATCCCGAAAGTCCAACATTCCGAAAGTCCAATATCCCGAAACTTCAACATCCCGAAACCCCTATATCAAGAAAAAATGGTGCATATCCAGCACTTGACAATTTGCATTTTTGATCGCCTAATTGTGTTTTGATTAATTAAAAATTTATTATCGCTATCATATACCATACATAGTTTTGTACATGTACATTCATGCAAAATCGTGGCTGTCAATCTAATCTAATAAATACGAATTGAATAGGGTCCGTTAAAGCCATGTAGTTACATGTGATTTTTAATCCGGTCCGGATTGCAACCATGTGACCAAAATTGAATAGCCAATAAAAATACTATAGCATTAGCTCACCAGCAATAACATTCTTTGAATAAACCCACATTAAAAGTACTAATCAAGCAATTTTGCAGTGTTCTGGTTGACAGCAAAAATAAACTGACCAATTAAAAATTTTATTTGATTGTTGTTGACATTGTTAAAATTGATTTTTCAAGAACATTTCCATCCAAAGACTCACATTTCATCAAATACTCACCAAAGAACTCACTAGATCCGGTCGCGAAACCAACACGTAGAAACTGGACATCCGGGAATCCTTACTAACCCTAACCAACACCTGCGGTCCCAGAAAATAAGTCAACTTTGGATGTTTACTTATATTTCTCCCAATATCCAACCAATTTTTGTGGTCCGAATACAAAGAATGTTCAACTTGATTAGGAGAATCAAATGAACCCGAGTTCGCAAAATTCTGAAGCTCGGTGAGATATCATTGCCTCACGATCCGTCCGTCATTTTGCGATTTTTCATGCGCTGACTTTGGATACAATATTGTCCCGATTTTGTTGATCTAAACGCAAAAATATTCACCTTAATTATAGGATTATAGATCGCAAAGATCTGATCATGTGTTCCAGAAATGTGGACGTTCAACGATGCGATACAGACCGGTGCGAGACCAAACCGGAAACCAGTCAAATTTGCGATGGCACCAACGAAATGAAAAAACTAGACACCCAACAATGAAAGAACGCCAAATACTCACATTCAGGAAACTTGGTACGAAACAAAAACTGGAAACTGGTCGCGTAAGTTGTTAGTTGTTATGAGTGAGTTTGGTCACCATTTTCGTTTCGCTGGTGTTGCGAATTTGATTTCATGGCGGTAATGTTTTTAGTGAGTATTTGGCACTTCTTTTCGTTTGTGAGAGTCACAGCCAGAATTTTGCTGGACCAAATCACAAAACAAAAGACATTTGTTTTTGTTTTGATGTTATGCAGAATTCAGCCAATCATTGAATGTGTTACAGATATAGTTCATGTGCATTAAGTCAATCCGGATAATTATAATTATTCGAGTTGACTTAAGCCTTAATTCACTATATGGCTTTAACGGTCCCCCTATTATGGGCAATGTCTAAAGTCTAGTCCATCTGATAATCAGTCCGAAACACAAACCAATAAGGATGCGTAAATTTTTGATCAACTCAGCAAACCAAATCTGAAACGTGGGCAAAAACAAGAAAAATAACAGAAACAGATGCTTAAATCTATTTTGGTATACTAATAAAAAATGTCAGGAAGGCAATTTTATATATAAGCTTGATCACAACTTTAACCCTAATTCTAAGCTTAAAATTAATCTTTAATTATACGTATAGTTATGTATCACGTGATGGATCAGACTTTAAACGTTCCCTAGTAGACTAGTCATAGCAGAAAAAGTTCCAGGCCCGTGATCTGATTCAGAACCAGATCTATCTAATTAATCAACCCACAAAATGATGATCAATTCTTACACTAATTTATCATTATCATTATCGTTATCATTATTACCAACCTACAGGAACCAAAGCAGTTTGTAACATGTAATTTGAGAAAGAAAGAAATGAAAATGAATTTTTTTTGCATTCAAAATTATGTACATTTTGGAATTAAACATTGTATAAACTTTTAGTCTTGTATTATATATATATACGATATAAAAAATTCATTTTTTTTCTAACAAATAATGATAAAAGAATTCTATGTAATTTTTACAGTTCTCACATGTAACACATAATCAACGAGATCCTATCGTATCCAAGATTTTTTGTTGTTTGTTAGACTAGTTCTGTCATGTTTACTAGTGGATATCGAAATTCAGAGTTAACGGTAATAGATATGGGTCACGTTAGTGATATTCCAATTTGTCCATCAGCAAAATAATGGTGAGAAGAATGGTGAAAAGAAACATTGATTGAAAGATAGCGATAATATAACCATTTTAAAAAATAATTATCTATTTGATCTTTTAGATAATTTTTCTTTAATATTAACGTTAAGTAATTACTTGGATTTTGAATAATTTTACAAAATTTTACATGATAATAAAATTATATTTATTTGAAAATAAATCATTTATCATTATTAAAATTTCAAGAATACTCGTAAAACTACTAATATACAAATTATATATTAGTTAAATCATCCACTTAAAGTAATTTACAAGAAATACAAAAATATTCGTTGATATTTAAAAATAAATCTACCTATTTTCTTATTGTAAATACTCATTCATACTTATTGATGAAACTCATAACCAAAGGAGAAATTGGATTAATACTTTTAATAAATGAAATCAGCAAAATATGCAAAAGAGTCTACCTGATTATATAGTTTCAAGTTATCTAATAGATTATCAGTAATTAATCATATATATTGAAACACATCTTCTAAAAGAAAAAAAGCTGTTAAAAAATCTACTTTAAATAATATTTAAAAAAAATCTGCTCTGAAAGTAAAAGATGTCTTGCTGTGAAAAGAGTAAATTGGATTCTGAATTTATATAGCAATGTAAAAATAGAATAATAATATTTTCTGTATGTAATTCCTGTATGAAAAATAACAGAAAAAAATAGCACAAAATCAAATCTATCAATACTGAAAATACTCTATTTTTAGCTTTTAATAATAATATATTTATTACAAATAGAAATAATGAAGATAAATTTGTTAATACTAAAAATACTTCATTTTCAGCTTTTAATAATAATATGTTCATGATTACAAGTAGAAATAATGAAAATAAACTCACC